GGGGGGGGGCCTAGTCCCCCTCCCCCTGAGGTCCTGAGAGCTAAGTCCATAGTGGCAGTGTTTTGCTAATGGGCAGGCCTATTTCCAAGAACCCAACAAGCATTGCCCCACCTAGTGGTTCTTTGCTGGGAGGAACATGTGGCCAGCCCAAGATTTTAGGCCACTGCAAGCGCCTCCTTCAGGGCCACACACCAAAGTGGGACTCCCACCCACACTGTCGGAGGGAAACTGCTCCCCTCCCCCTAGAGTACACATAGAAGCTGGTCCAGGCCGGATCACGTGGTCCTAGAGGCTGTTCAGGGGTTACCTGGTGGTCTGTGGGCAGGAAGAAAGGAGCAACCCCCATCTGGGCGAGGGGCCCCTCACCAGTGTCCCCACAGCACTGCCACAGCTCCCTCGGTTGCTGCCCACGTCTTGGGCACTGTACTGGGTTTGTTCCCATGTCTCTCCTGGCTGCTCTCTGAGCCTATGCCTTGCTCATCTCTGTGACCTCGGCCGCTTGCAAGGAGTCGGGCCCAGTGAGCAGTGGAATGAGTTTAGTGCTGGAGGGAGCACGGTGTAGTGGCTGAGAGCATAGACTTCAGGGTCAGGCTGACATGGACCTGAATCCTAAGCTCTGCCACTTACTGTGTTACCCCAAGGAAGTTTCTTAGCATCCTTAGCATCTCAGAGTCCTCTCTGCAGAAGGGGACGACAGTAGTGCCTGTCTCACCAGGTTGTTGGGACAGTTGGCCCAGTGGTATCAGCTCCAAGCTTTTATCCATTCATCTCCCACCCATTCATTCCAAAAGAGTTTTACTGAGTAACTATTATGTGCTCAGCCCTGTGCTGGGCCCCAGAGATACAGCAAAGAACCTAACAGACGAGGTCCCTGTTCTCAGTTGACGTTCTAGCAGGGGAGACTGAAAATAAGCAAGTAAACAGAGATAAGTAAAATAATGACAGACTGTGGTGAATGTGCTGTGGGGGAAATAAAGAGTAGGACAGACTTGCTTTAGAAAGGGGGGGCAGCGAGGACAGCTGAGCCTAAGGCAGGAGAAGGAGCTGGTGGGGCGGGCGGGGCACAGCTCTGTGGTCAAAGGGAGGAGCTCGTGCAGAAGGTCCTCGGTGGGAAATCCAGGTGGATGGAGAAACTGAGTAAGTGGGGCCAGTGTGTTAAGAGTTTGAAGTGGGCGGCTGGGCCAGGAGGTGTTGGCCTCCCAGGCCGTGGGCACAAGCTTGGTTTTATTTGAAGGGCACTGGGCAGTATGTGTGTGTGTGGCGTGGTGGGCAGTGAGAGAGAGAGAGGAGAGCAGAATTGTCTGTGCATCTGGGAGGAAATTGTGTGAGCGAGAAAGAAAACGTGAGTGTCTGAGAGAGGATGGAGGGGTGAGGAGGATGTGCGTGACTAACAGGAGGAGGGGGAGACGAGCAGGGTGGGGGCGGCGGGCCCCCCTGCAGCCTCTCATCCCTCCTGCAGCCACAAGGACTCCGGAAAGCCCTGCAGTTTGGAGTGAGGGACCGTTTATTATTACTTTGTGAACCCTGATTGACATCATTAGCAGCAGCCACTAATCTCTGAGAGACCTGACCCCTGGAGATTGAGTTTATTGAGCACCTACTGTATGCCAGACTCAATGCTAGACGACAGGAATATGGAGACGGGAGAGAGATGTCCAGGGGCCCCTCCCACAGCATCTCCCTCGGGGTGGGGGCGTCCTAGCCCTGCTTCTCTCCCTGGCCCCGGTGCCTCTCCCTGGCTGTTTCCTTAGCTGGGGTGCGCGGCCAGTTACCTCACCAACAGCATGCCCACCCTGGAACGCTTCCCCATCAGCTTCAAGACCTACTTCTCAGGGAACTACTTCCGCCACATCGTGCTGGGGGTGAACTTCGGGGGCCGCTACGGGGCCCTGGGCATGAGCCGGCGCGAGGACCTGATGTACAAGCCGCCGGCCTTCCGCACGCTCAGCGAGCTCGTGCTGGACTACGAGGCCGCCTACGGGCGCTGCTGGCACGTGCTCAAGAAGGTGAAGCTGGGCCAGTGCGTGTCCCACGACCCGCACAGCGTGGAGCAGATCGAGTGGAAGCACTCGGTCCTGGACGTGGAGAAGCTGGGCCGAGAGGACTTCCGGAAGGAGCTGGAGCGGCACGCCCGCGACATGCGCCTCAAGGTCAGTCTGGGCACCGGCCCTGGCCATGTGCGTCCAGGCCCTCAGCCCGGGGTGTGGACATGGGAGGGCTGCTGCTTCCTAGTAGGGCACTCTTCCAGGGAATGCCTCTCACGCCCTCGCCCCATCCCCTGCCCCAGCGGAGGTGGTGTGAGGATCAAAGGAGGTGACTGGGGTGAAGTTTATTCTGTGTTGGGCTTTATTCAGTAGTCCTTATTGTTAGGACAGTCCCCTCAGGTGGGCAGCCAGGGGAGGCTCCAGAAGGAGGCAGCAGGTGAGCTGGGTTTGGGTGGAGGGCAGGTCTTGGGTGTATGAAGGGCAGAGGCATGACAGTCTCCAGGTGGAGGGCCTGTGAGTGAAGATCTGTTAGTGGGAAAGCTTGGCCTGTCTGGAGGGGACGGAAGGTGGGGTGGTGAGAGCTCCCACCACTCCTGTGTACCCTGACTCTTGACCCCCCGAGCCCCGCATCCAGTGAAGGACCAGGAGGAAGTCAGAAATGGAGGGAAGTCAGACCCCGGCCCACCGTGAAGGTGATTGTGCCTTCTCCCTCTTCCTGCCCCCAACAAGCCGGAGCAGGAGGGGCTGTTGTGCCCGGAGCAGGTGGGCTGGGCTGCTGAGGAGTCAGCCCCGAGCCTTACAGTGGGCAGAATAGTGGCCTTTCCCTGGGTCCCCCTGGACTGGGGGGGGCCTGCCGGGCCCCTCCCAGGAGTTGATCCCCTCCCCATTGCTCAGTCACTGCTGCCCTGTGACTCTGCCCTCCCAGCAGCCTGGTGCCACAACCATGACCTTGGCACTTTCATGTCCACCAGGAGGCCAGCGGGCGGAAGGTGGGAGCTCCATTCTCAGGGTGGGAAACTGAAGTGCAGGGAGCCCAGAGGCCTGCTCACGGGCGGTGGGGAGATGGGACCGGAGCTCAGTCTCCAGATGGGGAACGCAGGCACGTCACAGGTGCCTGCAGTGCCTGGCAGGGACATGTCAGAGCTAGAGCTGCCCTGCCTGCCAGCCCCGAGGCCACAGCCTTGTGGGGTGACAGCACCTTCCTCCAGGGCAGAAGCCAGCTGCAGGCGACCTGCTTGTTTCAGGGGCTGCGTAGCTCTGATTGCCCAGCACCCCTGTCCTGCTGCTAGAGCGTTCCTGCATCTTCACGGGAGCAGGTTGGGTCTACAGTTGGAGCTGATAGTTACCTAGTCCTTAGTGCTGTGGTTCCCAATCTGTTCAGTGCTAAGGACTCCCCATGTTATTTGTCCTCTCCAGCACCCCCATGGTGTACCCCATGTTTTGAAAATTGAGGTCAAGCTGGTGATGCCGTATAAAGATGATTCATTTGTTCTCGTGTTTTCTTAATCAGATACATAGCTACTGATCTGAGCTTCTGATTGGCTCGAGATAACCCGTGTCACCCTTGGGGCTGGTAGGATCCCAGGCCAAAGCTCAGACATGGGCTGCTGCCCCAGCTGGCACGTCTGCCTGGCACGGGGAGATGGCCCTTTTCTTGACGGCATCAATAGCGTGAAAGCACAGTGACTTCCTCACATCCACACCATTTCAGGGGCTAGAGGGCGTTGGGCAGCCCTGCTGAGGAATCGCTGCCCTGGCGGCTTTAGCACCTGGGAAATAGGTTTGGGAAGACCGGGAGACAGGACGCAGCATTGCTGGAGGTCTCCTGGGTCTTGCCCAGGGAAGCCTCAGGGCTTGTGGCTCCTGCAGGGCCAGACGGCTGCCCCGAGTGAGTCTTTGTTTCTTCCTCCCCACCAAGATTGGCAAAGGGACTGGCCCTCCCTCCCCCACCAAGGACCGGAAGAAGGATGTGTCCTCCCCACAGCGGAGCCAGTCCAGCCCCCACCGCAGGAACAGTCGCAGCGAAAGGCGGTGAGGGACGGGTCGTGCGTGGGGGCCAGGAGAAGGCTTTTCCCTTTCTCTCATCTCCTGGATCCCTGCTTCTCTCTCTACCGCTCTTCTCTGTCCCACCCTTCCCTTCCACCCTCCCCCCGCCCCCACTGGAGGGAGGTGATTTGAGATGGTGGGTTTGTGTGTTTATGTGGTGACCCCTCCCACCTGGCAGCAGTGCAGTCCCATTTCCCCAGAGAAAACAGCTCTGCCTGGCCCAGTGGTTACCCTGTGTGGGGCCCCGGGGCCAGAGCAAGAGGCCATGGCAGAGGGTCTGAGGCAGCTTCTGTGGGTGGCAGGATGGAAGGGTGGGCTCTGCCAGACAGTGAGCTCTCCCGGGAGTATGGTTGGGAAAGGTTGAACGTCTGATGGCGGCTGGTGGATGGCTTTGAACAGAACTTGTGCCCCTGCGAGTCTGTGGGTTTTGCCTGAATCTAGATCGCCAAAACAGCCCGTTAAAAATACCAGGCCACCTCCTCTGATTTGTCTCCTGCGTGTCAGACTGGCTTTTGCTTTCAATATCATTGTCATTCAGGAGCCACCTCTCTGGAGTGACTGAGGGGCACTGAGCAGGCCCCCAGTACCCGGCATCATTCACTTTGACCTGGGGCTTTTGTGGAGCACAGGTGTCCCTCTGAGAGGTTTACATGTTAAGCTATTACAGCTGACTGTGGCCACGTTAGCTGACCTCCGGGGAAGGGCAGGAGCCTGGAAGAGAGTGCAGGGACCACACTCAGGACAGCACAGGCAGGTTGGAGGTTCCAGAAAACACACTTCCACGCGGACTCTACGGCTACATTTGGGGCACCTTGGATAACGGAGAGGGAGAGGCACCAGGTACAGCCACCGCTTGCTCTGTCCTCCCGCACCTCCTTGATAGACACTCACCGCCTGCCCCTCCTCTGCTCTCTCCTCCCTGCAGGCCTTCGGGTGAGAAGAAGCCTTCTGAGTCCAAAGCCATGCCAGACCTCAACGGGTACCAGATCCGGGTGTGAGGCGGGTGGCAGCGCCCCGGCCTCGCCACCTCTGGAGGCCAGGATCCATCTGCCAGAATCAGCCTCGCTCGCTCGTGGGGAGGGAGGGGCAGGTGACGGGGCAGGGCTGGGGCAGCAGGAAGAGCGTGTCCGAGCTCAGCTAGCCAAGCTGCTGCCCCTCCTGCTGGGCCAAGCCTCCTAACTTTGGGCTGAGAGGCAGTTAGTATTGTATTTGGAGTTTTTAACTCAACAACTGAAGTTTAAGGTATTTGGGAAAAACTTAAAACGAATGGATCTGCCAGTGGCTAGAAGGCCAGTGCTTAAGAGATCGAAGTGCCACGGGGCTGAGCAAGGAGGGGTTACCGGCTCTGCTGGTGCCCCTGCTCCTGGCATCTCTCCGGGATTTAGGTCCATCCTATCTGTGGAAACCTCCCAGCCCCACTGGTCCTGTGGCAGGCCGGGGGGCAGGGGGTGGAGGTGTTTCTCCAGTCTGCCTGCCCTGGCAGAATCTTGACCCAGGGAAACGGAAGCAGGGTAGGAATCATACTGGGAAAGGTATGTGTGGCCCATATCTAGAGCTTGGTACAGGCCACATCTGCCCCAAGTGTGGGAGCCCCCTGGCCCAGGAGAGCCCCCTGCACAGTGCTGTGTGCGCTGACACTGCCTACTGGCACAGGCCCTTGCTGGGGTGGGCTGTAGGAGAGCCCAGGAGAGAATCACAGGGGAGGAGTTCCTGGGCCCCTACCCGGTCTCCTTGCTCAGCCCACCTCTGCCTATTGCTGAAGCCAGGGGGCTCCCTGCAGAGGGGCTAGGCTTTGCAGAGGGGCTAGGCTTTGCCGAGGGCCCAGAGTTGCACTGGGCTCAGCGTGACTTGTGGGGACTGAACAGACCTGGGGGGTCCAGGAACCGTGGCTGGGTGTGGGGACTGAACAGACCTGGGGGGTCCAGGAACCGTGGCTGGGGATGCAGTGGGGCACTCAAGAGCTGGGTCTGTCCCCTGGTGGTCCCCGGGGGTGGGCACTGCTGCTCCCCTCTTTCTGTTACCTCAGCCCTGGCTGGGGGAATGCAGACCAGACGAGGATGCTTGCACCCCGGGCCTGCCTCCTCTCATTTAGCAGCCCATCGAGGTTTGGGGGTCCCAGGGATGATCAGGCCTGTTGCATGTGGCTCCTCAGGGAAGAACCTAAACAGCTGGAGTCTGCACAGGCTGCACGTCGGGCATGAGATGCGTGGTGGGCAAGTGAGAGGCTGTAGAGAAAGGTTGATGGGGCTGGGGAAGGTTCTGGAGGCTTAAGCAACAAGGAGGTGTAGGGCAAAGGTGCAGTGTGGCCATGGAGGAGGGGCAGAGCCCGAGAACTGGGAGGTGTAAGTGAGGAAAGGATGTGGGGGAGAGTTAGAATAAGGCTGCCTTGGGGAGTAGTGAGTTCCCTGTTGCTGGAGGTATTCAAGCAAAGACTAGATGGCTACTTGTCAGGAAGCTATAGAGAGAAGTCAGGTTATGAAGGGTAGCTGGGTGAGATGACCATTAGGTTTCTTTTTACTGAGAGGCTCTGATTCAGCCAGGGGCAGCTGTCATTAAGGCTGCAGGGGGCTGGGAGCCTGGAAAAGGGACGATCAGAACTAGAGTGGTAAACTCAAATGCCTACAGGGCCAGGCAGGTGATGAAAAGGAGGGCTACAGGGCTGGGTGGGGACTGTGGCCAGCTAAGGAGAGCATACCCCCATTAAAGTAACCGCTGCTGCTCAGCTGTCCTCAGAGTACAGGCCCTGCATTGCCAGATTGTCTGATTGGTTTCAGAGGCCAGAACTCTGAATTTTTAGGCGAAATATCCTGATTTTGAAATGTTGGCAATCAGTTCAGAAAATTTAAAAACCCAACGTGAAAGAGAATGCCAGTTTGTAGTCGCTGAAGCCGAGTGAGCTTGTGCTGGGGAGAAGTCCACAGAGATGCTTTGAGGTGGAAAGTATGAGAGTTCTAGGCTTCCCAGAGCAGGCTGGGCCAGAGCAGGTTCCTTGCCACAGAGGCCCCTCCCAGAGTGGGCAGCTGCTCCCTGTCATCCTCCCCACTCTCCCTGCCGACCAGAGACGTGTCAGAGACCCCCTGCGGCTGCCGTGTCGCCAGAGGGGGTGGAGTGGAATAGAGAGAGTGCAGTTCTCGGCCTGCCAGGGAGATGGATGGTGCCTGAGAAGCAGAGAAAGGGGGGGAGGGAAAGGATGCCTTGGCTGATGCGAGTGCCTGTCAGGGAAGGCACCAGGGGCTGGCAGCGCTTCAAACCAGCAGCTCCTGGCCCAGAGCCAGGCCCAGCAGGGAGGCCAGCTGGTCAGTCCCCGGCCTCACCAAGTTCCTCATGGGGTCAGCGGGCCCTGGGGAGGTGCCTGACCTTCCCCCCGGGCCACACCCCAGCCAGACCACTCTGAGGGGCATTGTGACCCCTGACTCATCATCCCATCCCATCCCAGCTTTCAGGGAGTACAGATGGTGGTCCTTGTGTTTCCACATTTGCCTGAGGTAGAGATCACTCACTTTGGGAGGCGTGAGGCTGAAAACGAGGCCTTTTCTGGGTCTGAAAGTGGGTGCCCCCTGCAGGCTGTTCATCGGCAGGGGAGTGGCCCCAGATGCCCCAGAGGAGGAGAGAGGTGAGAGGGAGCTGGGAGCTGGGGTCAGGGAGACATGGGGAAGCTGCTCCTGTATGGCAGCGTAGGCACGCTCTGACCCACAGGCTCCTTCCCCGCAACCCCCTGGGGAGAAGGAAGCTGAATGAAGCCCCAGCCCCTACTGCTGTCTGCCTGGGAGGGAGCTGATCCCCCCATGCTGATAATCCCCTGGCACTCCCCCTCCTAGCTGAGACCTCGGCCTGTGGAGACCACCACAGGAGACAGTGGTGCTTCTTAATTTATTTTTAACTGTTTCTCATATGTAGCAACCTCTCCTCCCTTCCCGGGAGTGTTTACACAGCTCTGCTCCCCAGGGCTGGCCTGGCTGCAGAGTGTCTGGGGAGGCAGAGGCAGGACTTCGGGGCCTTAGTCACCATCCTCGGCATCACCTCATCTCACTTCCTGTGAGGGACAGGAGCTAGGCAACCCCCCCAACCCCCCACTCAACTCAGGACTTCCAGCACTTGGCGGGTGGGGCTGCCAGCTGAGGAGGGGCCAAGGTGAGGTCAGAGAAAGCTGCTTGATGGTGGGTCGGGGTGGGGGGTGATCGCATGGTCTCCCCAAAGCCTGGCTCCTTGTGCTCAGTGCTGGGTCAGAACACTGGGAAACTGGGTTTAGAGAGTCTTCCCACCCACCTAACTGCCAGTCCTCTTCCTCCCATGGCCTCAACACACTGTCATATCCCCCTGACCCATCACGCCAGCCACCCCATCCTTCCTGGGCGTGGCCAAGTGGGGAGAGCAGTAGCCCCTGGCCTGGGGCTACGATGATGAAGCCTAGGGCTCTGAGCACAAGAGCCAGCCCAGGGAGGTTGGCCGTGTCTGGTTCTGGTCCTTTCTGTCATCTCAGGCCCCACCCCTTCCAGCTTGGACTTGACTTACTGGCTCTGGGACAGAGTCTGATTCTGGCCAGAGGCGTGCCCAGAGGCCCCTGTGCGCCTGGTTCTCTGCCTGGGATGTTTTCTGTCTTGGCTGCAGCAGCATCCCCAGGCCCACCCTCTGGCTTCAAAATGCAGGGAGGTGTGAGCTGGGCCTGCATATTGACTGTTCTTTGTGCTAGAGCTCGACTGTGTTGAAATCCTCACTTCCCTTGTTCCCACTGAGAAACCAGTGTGAAGGGCAGGGAGCGTCCCCTGGAGGAGGGTGTGGTGGGAGGCGGAGGTCTGCCCAGGGCAGGAACGGCTGCCCGGCTGCCCGGTGCTAGCTGCAAGTCCATCAGTATTGACCCCTCTCGCCCCATCTTGGTGCTCCGGAGTCCCAAGTTTCCCTGCTTCTTCAAGTCTGAAGAGAGAAGAACCGGTGTACTTGGCCCGGGGACCTGGTGATGGGGCCGCCCCCTCCCTTAAGCTTTGTGTTGGGCTGTATGTGGTCCTAGACTTTGTTCTCCTCATAACAGTATTGCCCTCCCCTTTCACTTTTACACTTCTCATTCCTGTTCTCACTCTTCCTCTGAAATGAATAAAGTCTCCCCAGCTCGGCTGTGTGGGCTGGGTGGAAAACACTACGTACACGTAAGCTTCGTCTCCTTTCCTCTGGGAGCCCCATGGGCAGCTCTGGGAAGAACCTGACCAGAGGTGAGGGGAGCCCCAAACCAGCCAACAGAAAACCTCACAGGCCCTGCAGTCATGATGAAATTTGTGGGGTCCCAGACTGTCACCCTCAGCCTGCTGAAGCCACTCAGCTCTTGTTAATCCTAATTTGGAGATCTTTCCAGCTTTCCTGCTGGCTGTAAATGAACCCCTTCTCCCTCACACAGCCAGCTTGGCCCCGGAGGCCAGAGTCTGCTCCCAGGATGCATTCCAGAGCCCTGCTCTTCCTGTCCTAGTCCCCAGCAGTCCATCGGGAACAGAGGAGGAAGGGTGAGTGTTCTCCTGGGAGATGAGGTTATTTCAGGAAACCATAGCAACAGGGATCTGAAATCTCATCACACTTGCCAGTGCGGAATCTGATGGTTAAAGCTACAGCTTTGGAAAACTCTGGTTCCTGTGACCCCTTCCTCAGCATTGTCCCTCCGGCTCTGGACCTCTTCCCATGCTTTAAGACAAGCCCAAACAGTTGCACCCAGACTTGCACAGAAATATCTTTTAGACGTCACAGCACTTTTCACTTTTCGTCCTCCCTCCCCTCTTCTCTGCTCTCCTTTCATTCAGTTTGAGAGTAAAACCTAGACTGATAAGAGCAGGTAGGATATTTCCTACTTCTTATCCCAGCCAATCCCCATAAAGTCCTAACCAGAAGTGTCGTTCAGCACAGCGAGACTCCCTTGCTTTCAGTAGGGTGGTGGTGCGGCAGGGCAACTGGGGAGAAGAGAGGCAGTCCATTGGAATCCATGAACATCTTAGACCGTACATCGTTAAAGAGAGGTAGTTTTGTTACAGGCTCATTTAAATCCAACTTAAAACCAAAGAAGGGCTTTTCAGTAAAGGTAGCCCATATCTGTGAACAACTTGGGTCATACTCCTTTACACAAAGGCAGTGTTGCAATTCACACATTCAAGCCCAGCTAAAATACCACGTAAGGGACCCTGTGGGTGGGCTTCAGTAAGATGGGCTCATACACAGTGGCCCCTGGACTGCTCTTGTACAAATGAGAGCTGGGTAAGTGCTGGGTTAAGAGTCTGTCATGAGTCAAGCAGGCTTGTCATAGACACTGCTTGGCCACTTAGAACCGACACAGAGGTGAATGTTATCGTGGACTCCTAGAAGGATCAGAACCTAACTTAGGGGACCGGCCCGGTGGTGTAGTGGTTAAATTCACACACTCGGCTTCGGCAGCCCAGGGTTCACAGGTTCAGATCCCGGGCATGGACCTACACACTGCTCATCAAGCCATGCTGTGGCAGGCATCCCACATAGAAAAGAGAGGAGGATGGGCATGGATATTAGCTCAGAGCCAATCTTCCTCAGCAAGAAGAGGAAGATTGGCGACAGACGTTAGCTCTGGGCCAATCTTCCTCACAAGAAAAAAAAAAAGAACCCAACTTACTGGAGGGGGTTGGTTCATTTCCTGCTGCCCTCTTTCT